TTGAATTTTTTGAAGTCTGAGTATAATTGGGGGCGCAAGTTAAATTGCTCCTAAAAATATCGACAAAAATGAGGTACTTCTCAACCGTTTTCCGCCACAACAGTTTCTACATAGTATATACATAAATTTTTTAATGTGAAAAGTCGCCAAACGAGCCGACAGTTCATCTGATGGTAAGTGAATACCGCCGCCCGTGGACATCTGCCACACCCGAGGGTTCCAGATGCGTTGACAACCTTTTTGAAAATTGGGCTTCGGCCACCTCTCTCACCATACGAAACGCGAAAGTATTATACTTCCACTTTGATCCGTTCTTCTGTGAGGTCGTGGTACTTACCGGACGAGCCTGCCCATTCGTGCAACAGCCGAGGCTGCTGCGTGACCCTACCACCGTACACCACATGTAAGAACAATTGTCAGTTATGGATATTCAAACACATAAGATTATTCAGTATTTTTTTAGAATAGGAAAACATAAAGTAAATATTTATTACAGTACCTTTTAAGACTGTTGATTTTCGACTTGGCGGCAATCCTGAAACAGAGAAAAAATGTATCATCGTGTGAGAAGAATACGAAGGATTCCTTTAGAAGCTTTCACATTTTGACTGCACATTTGTAGTTAATAACGTAGCCTTTGATACTTTATACATCGGAAAGAAAAGGGGTTCCTCTCTTGGAGAGTCGTATTAAGGGGGGGGGGCCATTTATCAAGGTGACAGATCACCCCTCTCCGATTCTTAAGTGGAACCATGACAAATGTCGCGGTCAGGTGGAAAACGTGTAACGGAATTCAGTGAATAAGTAAATAAATAATTAAATTATAAATATTTTAGGCCTCTATTTAACGATATCATACAAATCGTTAGAAGATAAATCTATATATATATATAAAAATGAATCCCTATTTCCCCTGGTCACGCCATCACGCGTGAACGGCTGGACCGATTTCACATTTTTTGTGTTTGTTATTATCAGTAGAAGGTTCTTATGAAAGAAAAAATTTAATAAATTGCCTGAAAAAGTCTAAAAAGAACCCTTTTCTATATACCCGTACAAAAGCTTTGTAATAATAATTAAAAGTTAATTTGAACTTTAATACCTTACCATTAAGTGTTAGTGGAGGGGTTCCGGGAAGGCAAAACAAGAAAGTGACTGTGGTAAAATGTCACTTGAAATGTAAACGTCTCTTTGCTGTGCATCGCTATATAGTATAAAAAATGCAAGAAAGCATTAACTTTCATTGTAAATTATAAACATAGTATAAAACAAAGTCGACCCGCTGTCTGTCTATCCCTATGTATGCTTAGATCTTTAAAACTACACAACGGATCTTGATGCGGTTTTTTTACGAGATAGAGTGATTCTAGAGGAAGGTTCATATGTATAATACATTGCACCCGTGCGAAGCCGGGGAGGGTCTATAGTAAGTAAATTAATAAATAATAAATATTTTAGGACTCATTTTTACACGTTCTTCTTTAGTCCACAACTAAGCAACGCTTGTACTACGGGTACTAGATAACTGATAAATATACTTAAACATACTTTTCTTTTGTAAATAGATAAAACACCTTGGTCATCAAACAATGTTTTTCCCAGTAGAAGGGGATCGAACCCACACCCTTTTACGCATGAAGTAGGTTCACTGCCAACTACGCCAATCGGGTCGTAAAAAACTAGAGGTCATCATATAAAGTGATGACTTTTCCTTTCCAGCCAATTGAAACTGGTTAAGTTTTAAGTTCCATAAATTTTTAGTTTATTGATGTTAATTATTAGCAATTAATAATTATTATATTAATGCAATACTTATTGCAGTTCTTTCATCATTTATACTAGAATGTTGTTCTTCTTTTATTTAAGTAAATTTTATTCATACGTATAACGACGCCGTCAAAGTCGTACGCACAACGCATTTCAAGAAGTGTACTTTACGATTATTTTACGAGTGAGAACGCGTTGAGCTTTAATGCGAAATAAACTTGCAAGGGGAAGAAGAGCAATCGGACCTTTACTATGGCCGAAATGAATATTGGAATTGAAACGTCAATTCTGACTCTCGTATTACCTTACTGAGGAAACGAGATTCTGTTATAACACAAGCGCCGCAAGCAAATCGGGGGCGACCGAGTGATTTACGAATGTACTCCGACGGATGGGTTATCTTTGGTCACCTTTTTTATCGCCCCCAATGTCGCTCAACGCCTCAACGTCGGGGTGCGGGCTCGCACGGATCGAGTAACTAGATATGTCACAGCTGATATGGGACGTTACGTGCGCGGCCGAGATCTTGTCGGGTGAGTAATGCCTGGTGACGTTTTCAAATTAAATGTTCATCCAGTTGGCCATAACCCTCTGCACGGAGGGGACTTCTTACCAGGACTTTGACAAGCATGGTTATTATTTTTTATGTCGTTTTTCCTTCATTGAAATTAGATGACAAGGATATGAAAACTGAGAAAATCATATGGACCAAGTATACCACCTTGCGATACACCGGGCTTAATCCATTCTTAATACTGTCGTCCAACGTTAAGTCTTTTTGGACTTAAGGATAAAATAAGATAAAAATTAATTTAATTAGTTCCTTAATGAAGGTTTAGAGAAAACATTCATTGACTGCCCACAATCATGAGGAATAAAATTCCCAAGAAGTTGTACTTTGACTGTTGGATTATAGACAACTATAATTTATTTTAGACTACAACATTAACAACAATACGCTCCGTCATCTTTGAACAAATCAAATGACTTTGATACTTGGTCATAAATGTGTTAATAGCCTAATTTGAAAAATACTGCTTTTATGACTATTGACAAAACATAAAATATACATAATTGATTTGGATTAAGTATATGCCTTTCCTTTATATCAAATCAAAGGATGTGAAATTTGTAATGCAAAAACTTGGAAAATAAATTCGCTCTTAAAATATTTCTAAATATTTTTACTAGCAGAATATTTAAGTAAATATAACGAGTGAATTTGCCAACAATACGAACTTTTAATTGGCTTGCTAATTAAAAGTGAGAGCAAAACATAATACATTGGAATGCTATTCATGTAGGATTTTTATGAAAATCCAACGTCCTTAGAGCAGAAATTGTAATTCGAATATCGCGGTTCAAAGGCATAAATTCACAATGGCCGGGAACAAGTTTTTTACGCGGCAAACCATGTAACTTCCATTTTGGCCATCAATAGGCAATATTATCCCAAGGACTTTTCAAAAAGAACGCTGTGTCACTAAATTTCCTTGCGTTCTTATAACACCTTGGCAGTTTCGTTGTAAAACGTGGTAAATATCGAGTTAAGAATGCCCACAAACTCACGCACAAACAAAAAAAATAAATTTAAAATTTATTAAACAAATCCACTTTATCCAGTTTAATTTTGACTTTAATTACGGTAATTTTGACTTTAACTGCGGCGACGCGGGATAACTATGTAAAAGTTTTTAACTAGGTTGTATCGTCACCTCAATTTATCAAAAAATTGCATAAATTGAATGTCTTAAAAATAGATGGATCGAAATGATAATTATAGCTTATCAACCCTATTTTTTGTGCCATCGATATTTAATACTAGCTGTGCCCGCGACTTCGTTGGCGTGGTGTTTAAAATAAGTAAAATTTCTAAAATAAAAGTAGCCTAAGTTACTCCCTATTACATCAGCTATCTGCCAGTGAAAGTCCCGTCAAAATCGGTCAAGCCGTTTCAGAGATTAGCCGGAACAAGCAGGCAGACGAAAATTATTAAAAAAAATAATTTGGTGTCATCCAGTGATTAAAGTGATATCCAGTATACCGTGTATACTGGATGTATACAACTATACACGACACATATACCAAAGTAACATTTATGCATTTAGTAAAAGGCGGTTATTTTAATATTACAAACAGAAACTCCAATTTTATTAATAGATGTATAGATTGGATGGCTGTTACCGGGTGATCGCGAACGGCAAACGAACGTATAATTTTTCTTCGCTCGATGCCTTTCAGTATATCCCGATGTCTCGAAAGCTACAAAAGAAAATAAATCGTCTCGGGGCAATAAAACGATACGTTTTACGCGAGACTTGTGTTTAAGTATTTTTTCTTTGATTAATGTCGTACTAGCGCGGCCGTATCAAGGGAAGCAAAAGGTCTATTGACTTTCGTCGGATCACGTTTAAGTGTAGCTCCAGGGATCCTTTTACCATTTCAAATACAAGGGAGATAAGTATTGATACAATAAAGAAACAACGATATAAGCTTTCCAAAAGATTTGCAGGGTTTTGTGTGCCATTGGAATAAAACATCCCCTTCGTTAGATAATCAAGGGCATTGTTAGTGTGTATACATTGAGTACTTTAGAGGTTGGGTGCGAATGTTCTAGACTCCAGACCGTAATACCGTGCTACGTGTGTATATATTTTTTTTACAAGTTTTGTTAGAGTGGTTCACTCAATAATAGTGGAAATTGACGTTCAGAACTCTTTAAGAAATATATATTACAAGGAGAAGGGGCTAGAATTTAGTTAAGTTGGTAAGTTAACTTGTCAGACAAATGAAGTAACTAATTATACTTCAGTAACTCCCTATTCATACCGCTGCAACATTACGCTTCTTTACGATACCTTTTCGTGATTTACTACGTTGATGATATTACCATTTAGTTATTCAAAATAATCAGAAAATATTATTAGATTTCACGGTATTAGAGCCCAATCCCAAGGGAACTGACTCGAAAGTGAAATGCACTGACCATGCAACAAACTGAATAAGATTATGAAATCATGTCGGCAATAAGATACATTAGCCTGTCGAATGCAAATGACACCCTTCGAGCGACAGCATCTATCGGGCGTATTGCCCAATACGAAATTGCCGGATAACGGTGCATTATTCTAGCGCGGCTAGCACAGAACGAAAGGAAGCGTACTTGGCCTAGATGTCGAAACTGTGTGGGCAACAGCGGTCGCCCGGCACCAGGCAGAAGTGAGCGGCACTCAAGGATCTTTGCTCTGAACGCCGCCAACAATTGCTGTGTACGCGGAATATTGGAGGAGAGCTTTCACAACCCCGCCGGATTTAGCGCGATCTGTGAGCACCGATGCCGAGGCGTTGGTTGTACCAACCAGGATCTTTGCTGCCAGTGATCCGTTAAGGTTGGCAGCACTGGATGACCAACCCCTTAAAGATTGTTGATTCACTTTCAATATCAAATAGTGTTTCAAATGACCATAGGCAGGGTTTATCCCTTTCCATCATTGTTTATATTGTTTATCCGCTTGCCTCCCTCATGGTTTAAGAAAACCTTCTCACATGTTTTTACACACACATACATATTGCTTTCAAACTTCCATTGATATTTATTTACTCCTCGTTGAAAGATTACGTCGTGGGAGAAAACTGCTTGTCTGGGCCGAGGAATAATTTAGAGTCATTTTACGTTTCCCAACTAGCACTGGAGGCTGTAACTCTAATAGAGAGAAAGTCCAGCAGTAAATACAACCTATTGGGCATATTTATATGATCAAAAAATTATCTTTATGTTTATTTTTTATTTCCTAATATACTGTAAAAAGAAAATAGGACAACATTATATCACTACGTAGTATAAAACAAAGTCGTCCCGCTGTCTGTCCGTCCCTATGTATGTTTAAATCTTTAAAACTACGCAACGGATCTTGATGGTTTTTTTTTACAAGATGATTTACGAGGAAGGTTGCTATGTATAATGCTTCCGTGCAAAGTACTTTTTCTTTCTTTAATTCTTCTTTTCTTACCACTTACCTACCGACACCATGTTCAACCATTCTTACATATACCATGTAAGAAAATTCGTAAGTGTGATCTTTCTTTTGGCTCGCAAAAACATGTGTTTATTTCGCCTTTAGCAGTTGCTCTATAAAGAGATGATCCGTTCGCTTCCAAAAAACATTTCACCCAAAAAATTCATTTCGTAAAGGACCACTCAAACAGAATTATAATAAGCAAATATGAAATAAGCGAACAATGCAACGCACAACACGTCGCCTTCTTAGACGAGATAGGATCGGAAGTTGATAATAAATAATAACTGCATTTGCAGCCTAATAATAGATCTAGCCGATATGGTAGTTATTGGACTTGTCTATTACGAAAAAAATGAAGTTATAGACAGACCCGAAATTAGTAATTCCGTTCAGTTTTATCGTGCAATACAAAGCTATTCAACGATGTGTTATTACAACTACTGTCGACGATAAACGACATAATTTTTAATAGCCTTTGGTAGCAGTTTTTTTATACTAAAGACATAATAAAACGTAGGAACATAGAGGCGAAATTCGCTCGAACAATATGCGACATCGCAAAACTAGTTGGAACTTTCTGGTAGAATGGGATGAGGCATTCTTTCAAATTGCATTCCAAAACTCCACACTTCCAAGTCAGCGAGGGTTGGCGAATCGTAATGATGAATGGGGGTACTAACAAATAATTTTACAGTCAGTTATCTTGAATAGATTAACAATAGTTTGATCCGTTTCGACACGGGTAATTTCCGACTGTAATTTACTAACCCTTATGGTTTTATTTACTACAAATGTGGACCAAGTTACTCAATTGTGTGTCTGTACGGATGATGCAATGGTTTAAATGGTCACATGACAATGTACTATTGCGCACCATGCTTTGAGACGATCCTCACACGGGACAAGGTTGTGTGAAATCTGCAAACAATTCAATAATGCTTGGATGTCCTTTTTAATCCATGACCAAAAAGTTAATCTCCGCGATCAGAGCTTATTACCTAATGAGCGAGTCATTTTAAAGAACAGAGAGAAAAGAATTCTGCACTCAGGGGGGCTTTCCCTACAACTTTGTAATCAGATTTTCTAGAGTGAAACAGAAAGTAACCAAATATAATAAACAACTCCTTTGATAACACAATATTCACTTCAATGCAAAACGAATATCTGTAGCAAAAATGACAACCCTAAACCACACATAACCCAGTAACATATTCTTGAAACTGGAATGAATAAACTCGTCCTATATGATGTGCACCTACCATTTATATAATATGATTGCGAGTAAAGTATATTCATGCATGAGTTATCTGTTTATTCCCAAGTTTAAAGTTTTGCTCTCACAGTTTTTACTGACACTTGACTGAGACACCTTCTGGAAGTTGCGTCAGATCTTATTATTACTAACGTAGGTGGCGAACCTATCACCCAGCAGGTGGCAAGCCTGTCGGCGTTCGGTGCACGTTAAGTTTACCGATGCACAACACTGGCATTCGAAATGCGCAGCTTACTTCGATTTAAATCTAAACATTTTTTCCGAATTAGCGACCCTGGTTTCGCACGTACGCAATTGAAATACCAATGTGGGGCAGTGTGTAGTGATTAATTATATTATGATTATGATTAGTCATTATTACAGGATATCTTTATATACCGTGTTTACAGTTTTTTCATGAGACAGTGCAATAATGTTTACTTTAGAAGTTACTCTGTGTACCAATGTTACCATTGACGCCCTCAACAGCAATGAGATATGCTACAGTAATGTTGCCAAGCTTTCATAGGACGGACAAGCCTCCAGTGTGGAAACTCGCCAGGTTTTTGCGTTTCAACTGGCACTGATCTTAAAAATGCTTCTACTTTCCGTCGTTATTTATAAAACTGTGGCACTGCTCCCGTCTCGTCAACCCATTCGTGCGACAGTAGAAAGCACCACGTGGCTATTTCACACTTTCCTTAATAGAATATAAAAGGTGACGAAAACCGGATATTTCTTGAACTCCACCGTGCAATGTCAAAACTTAGTGGACCCTTAATATACTATGTTCTCGACACAACTAACGCATGTTTGCGTACGTATATGTCAACAATGAAAACATTGCGAGGAATTCGTTGCGATAATCCAATCCGCCCGCAAATAGACCGTAGAACGCGCAAAAAGCGGCTCACTTTCCGTGACGTAGCAACTAAGTGTTACCATGCGCAAGACCCACCGACCGGTCGCGAATGAAAGGGAAAGGCGAACGCCTGTATAGAAAAGGAATGAGACAGATGGCGCGTGTCGGGCGCACAGCGTTTTTGCCACATCTGAACATCGTTCAGGGCTCTTTGTATGGAAATGCGGTTTTTGTACGGAACCGGTTCGACCCCATTCCCAGCCGAACGAAAGCGACGACGAAATTAAGTAGGCCGATTAAACCAATGAAGTTGGAACAAAGAGGTGTAAGTAATGATATGGCAGCGAAAGGATTACGATGTCTGTATACCCAGCCGTTCCGTGTGATTTACACGCGCGAGAAACGTCTCTGCTTAGCCCCCGAATATCGACTGGGAGTTCCAAAGATTAGCGCGTTCAGCAACAAACAACACACAAATAAACAAAACCTTCAGATTTATTAAATTAATAAGTAAGTATAGATAAGAAACATTTTTTGCTCCCATTTAATTAGGTGTGCCTTCAAAGGCCAATCTAAAACTCCTTGGTCTTGGGAATGTTTGCGTGTTTGCAACATCTTACGAAAAAGTCTTTGCCGGGGCTGCTTTGGTATATTCTAATAAATTCTAAATGTGCCCTAAAGCACCCGTTTGGGATTTACGTTCCTAATCATTTGAAGCCATTTTTAATTTGCATAAACACTCGTGAATATCCTACTTTTTCTACGTAAAAGGTACGAAGTAACTACGAGAAGTTGCAAACGAGTCTACAGGGAACAATTATGCCTTCGAAGGTGGTTGAAGAATCAATCATCTTAGGCATTTCAAGTGATAGAGAATAACATTCTAATTTGGTAATATATTTAAACGGGATAAAATTCCTATAACAGTTTATTACACGATGTGAATATTTAACGTTTACATAAACCATGTTATGAACGGCCTATTCTTATTGGGCTGAACTATAAAACACGTATTTAACCTTCACCTCAGTCACCAATTACTTTACGAACAATTACGCTTTATCAAGGCGTTATCATTTGTAAAATAAGTTGACGCACGAAAAATCTAATATATAAAATTCACGTGTCACGGTGTTTGTAATTGAACTCCTCCGAAACGGCTAGACCGATTTTCAAAAATACATACAACCCTAAATTTTCACGCAGACGTAGTCGCGGGCAGCAGCTAGTAATAAATAAAAAAACGAAACAAACCAACGAGAATTGGAAATGGAAGTGAACTACGCAATCGTATGTACATTGGAGGGCCTCAATTCGATCAATCATCGTTATCGGCGAATGAATCTGCATTAACGAACGAACGAATGAATGAATGAGTGAGCGAGCGATTTTTAGTTCGCGCCAATGCCTCTGTCGCGCTCTTTGTGCGAATGCGCTTAATGGACAAACTGAATTTTCGACCTGATTCCGATCGGAGATGGACGCGTTGAATTTATGCATACGGTTTTTACGGTGGACGGATGTATTCATCATTTTTGTGTGATCGAGCTATCGTGATGGATCTCACGTCGATTCTCAATTTAAAAAGCCGTGAAATTGGAGTAGATTTGGGCTCTCAGATTAAGTAGTAAAGGACGTTAGTGTTTTGATCTGAAACATTGGTCCTGTTTAAACCTATATTGTCAAACAGCTCTAACCATCTATACCCCAAACACCCTTATGTTGTAAGTGCTTATTATGTACAGTATACATTATATTTTTTTACGAAAGAAGGTAGCAAGCGATCTGGCGGTTCATCTGAAGTTAGTGGCCGTAACAGCCTTTTAACAATATTGGCCCCGGCTACCTCACTCACGGGGCGAAATGCAGGAGTATAACTCTTCCACTACACGCTGGTCTTCTGTGAGGTCGTGGGTCCGTTCCCTGCTGTTGTGCTGCTGTTACTTTGTAAGTAAATGAAACTAATTTGTACGGATTTATCGCGTTTTTTTTTTAATTTTAATTCCCGATAAATCCCTAAAAATTAGTTTCATTTATAATGTGTAATCGCGTGATGACTAGAAATTATCAAAACTACTTTGTTTATGATGTTTTACGAAACGCGTCCCACAGTATTGAGAGTTCCTGACATGTAATAATAGTTGCTCGTCGTCGATTTGTATGAAAAATGTATTTTAATGGCTATATATCGCTTTGTAATTTGATTTTCGGATATCGGTAAACAGATTATCACTTTCTACGGAATCATTTGGATCGAAATCGTGATCGGATTCCAGATCACAAATTCGCCATAAATGGATCTTTAAAGTTGTTCTAACAATTCTCTCTGTTACTTATTTTTAATCCACTGCAGCTCAACTGTTTCATCAAAACAAGGTAACACACCTCTTTTCCACAGAGTCACAATTTAAGTAATTCCTTTGTGTGTTATTGGTGTGTTGTGTATTATTAACCGCATGTATTATGTACATAAACCTTCATTTATATGTTTTCGTCTCAACAGCTTATTGATGTTGATTGTTGTTATTATTCCCGTTTCCACAACTTTGCAGTTACTGCTACTACAAGGTAACCACTTAAAACTAATAAAGGTTGTATTGTAATAATTCATAAGAGGTGGTACTTTAGCATTTTCAACTACACATATTCCGTGGATTCTTAAGGATACATAAGTCAGTAAAGAACTTTATTGATATAAATATCTAATATTTAATGCGTTGTATTCGCGTACATGTATTCAGGTAGGCCCACGTAACAAACCGAAAAACTGTTGTACTCCAAAGAAAATCAAGAAGTATCGGTCGACAGCTCGCAGTCACAGTCTGTTCAAAAATAAAACCGAAAACTTGTAATCAAATCGACGATGGCAAAAAGTCAAACGCACGCGTCATCCGCAA